ATCTACGATGTAATTTGGCAGAGATGAAAATTTACCATCATGAGAATTTTATTGATGTTTTCGGTAAATTATTTTGCGTATATTTTTTGCAACATTCTATCAACATGGCGGTTTTTCTGCCATTCACCCAGAGTGCGATTTACACCATAAAAAAGATTCCCAACCCTTGCGAAAACCTTTGCCTCCCACTCCCCCACAGATCACGTGGAAGACCGACGGCGAGCTGCTGTTCCTCGGCACGCTCGACCTGGCCGCCATGCCCGGCCTGTCCCTGTCCCCCGACGGCGCCCTCGTGCTCGCCGAAGGGCCCATCAGGGACGTCCGCGACGGGAGGTCCTACGAATGCCTCGGCTTCGACATCAAACTCTTCAATGACGTCACGCTGGTCAGCTACCACGTGTCTCTCAGCGGGGAAGGTGGGTAGCTGTATGAGTGTGCGCGCGCGTGTGTGTTTGTGTGTGTGTGTGTGTGTGTGTGTGTGTGTGTATGTGTGTGTGTGTGTGTGTGTGTGTGTGTGTGTGTGTGCATGCGCATGCACGTGCGCGTGTGCGCGAGGTTGGGTGAAAATGTTAGTATGAGTGTGGGTGTGTATGCAGCATGTTATACATGATTACGAATTAAAGCAAAATGCTTCTTCCCGCACAGACACCATAGTTCAGAAGATCCCCGACGGGCGAACGGAGAAACAGAGCCCGAAGCCCGAGCCCGAACCGGAAGCGCTCGACCTCGAGTTCGGAGGGCTGGAGGTAAGATTTTTATTTTATTTATTTAGGTATTGGGATGTTTTTGTACTTAAGACTTTATGAACAAAATTTGTATTTTTACTCCTCTTTTATCCAGAGATGTAAATGAAATGTCTTTATTAACAATTATTTTATTTTCTTTAAGATTGCAGTATTTTAGTCAAACCTATTGCATATTGTATTTCACAGAGAAATTACAGCATACTGTTATTGATATAGATAAGATTTAAAGATATTATCTGATTTGGATATAGTTTACGTCTGTAGTGCCCGGGTAGCTATTCATGTACCATAATGTACCGTAGATTTAATTGTTTAGATATTCTGATTAAATGTCTGCATTTGTCTTGCGTAAATATTCAAACATTTTAATTTTTCATGTATTTATGCGTCAGAAATGTAGGTATGGAAAATAAAATTCATTTGCTGTCTGTCTATCCATTTACATGTTTATCCATCCATGTACATATATATCTATCCGTCTATCTCTCCATCCGTCTGCCTACTAGCTACCTACCTACCTGCTACTTACTAATCTACTACCTACCTACCTACTTACCTACCTCTTACCTACTTACTACCTACCGACTACCTACCTACCCACCCACTACCAACCTACCTAATACCTACCTACCTACTACCTACCCAACTACCTACCTACTACCTACTTACTTACTACCTACCTACCTACTTACTACCTACCTACCCACTACCTACCTACCTACTACCTACCTATCTATCTATCTATCTTCCCATCTATCGGTCCTTCAGTCAGCCAACCTATCTATCCATTTGTCTATCTATGTGCTGACTCTACACGTCTATCTCTCCATCTGTCTACCTATGTGCTGACCCTACACGTCTATCTATCGCCCTGAAGGACGAGGAGCTGCTAATACTCGGCAACACGGAGCGCGTCGGCAGGAGAATCGAGGAAGTGCTGAAGAGCGGCGGACTCAATGTCAGGTGAGGGAAGGGGAGGGGGAGAGGAGAGGAGGTGAGGGGAAGGGAGGGGAGAGGAGGTGAGGGGAAGGGAGGGGAGAGGAGGTGAGGGGAAGGGAGGGGAGAGGAGGTGAGGGGAAGGGAGGGGAGAGGAGGTGAGGGGAAGGGAGGGGAGAGGAGGTGAGGGGAAGGGAGGGAAGAGGAGGTGAGGGGAAGGGAGGGGAGAGGAGGTGAGGGGAAGGGAGGGGAGAGGAGGTGAGGGGAAGGGAGGGGAGAGGAGGTGAGGGGAAGGGGGGGAGGAGAGGAGGTGAGGGGAAGGGAGGGGAGAGGAGGCTGAGGGGAAGGGGGGAGGAGAGGAGGCTGAGGGGAAGGGAGGGGCGAGGAGGCTGAGGAAAGGGAGGGGAGAGGAGGTGAGGGGAAGGGGGAGGAGAGGAGGCTGAGGGGAAGAGGAGGGGAGAGGAGGCTGAGGGGAAGGGAGGGGAGAGGAGGTGAGGGGAAGGGAGGGAAGAGGAGGTGAGGGGAAGGGAGGGGAGAGGAGGCTGAGGGGAAGGGAGGGGAGGAGGTGAGGGGAAGGGAGGGGAGGAGGTGAGGGGAAGGGAGGGGAGAGGAGGTGAGGGGAAGGGAGGGAAGAGGAGGTGAGGGGAAGGGAGGGGAGAGGAGTGAGGGAAGGGAGGGGAGAGGAGGCGAGGGGAAGGGAAGGGAGAGGAGGTGAGGGGAAGGGAGGGGAGAGGAGGGAGGGGAAGGGAGGGGAGAGGAGGTGAGGGGAAGGGAGGGGAGAGGAGGTGAGGGGAAGGGAGGGGAGAGGAGGCGAGGGG